GCACTGTGGTTGATGGTGTCTGAACTGCAACTGCTGTACCCGTCATTACTCCTCCTGCACTACAGGGGGAGCTCACAGGAGGGAGAAGCGTTGGTATCAAGAAAGGGCAGATCTTGCTTATGGAGGAGGATGCTTTCTTGCAGGCGTTCTGCTCCAGCTCTTTCTCCGAAATCCGCGTCAGGGTCACAGTGGGGTTGAAGTTCACCGGCCGGGTAGAGAGAGGCATTTGCAGGACCATTGGGGTTTTATCCAGTGGGAGCACTACAGGCCTGGACAGCGCCAGTCTCTTGGCTCTGCCATGAGCCCAGAGTCTGGAATGGGGTTTAAGGGTCCTAACGCCATAGGGGTTCAGGCGCAAGGTGACATCTGCGGGGAGATCAGGGGGGTACTGCGTCCCAGGTGGGAACACGTAGGGAGGGGTTGACTCTCCTGGTGTGGCCTCCCCTCCCTCCAAGGTGCTGTTGTAATCCAGCACAGCCTTGTGGATGATTGGCAGGCTCTTCTGCAGGAGAGGGAGAGAAAGAATGAGCGTAAGAGAGAGGGGAGAGACAACACTTAAGACATGACAGGATATGCAGGTTAAAACTCCCAGTGCACAGCAGTCTGATCCGCTCCAGGTTTTACAGTGCAGTCAAGACTCCCAGTGCACAGCAGTCTGATCCACTCCAGGTTTTACAGTGCTACCAGTCAGATCCCCAGTGCACAGTAGTCTGATCTACTCAGGTTTTACGGTGCTGCGAGCCAGAATGCTGGCCTTCTTATCCCCTGCTCGGGGATATTGAGAACCAGCTCTTTTCATAGGCTCAATTGTCAGACCAGGCGACAGGATGCAGGCGTGAACCTGTGACCCATGAGGTTTAGGCAAGTCTCTCCGGGAGTCAGAGTCATATCTGCCTTTCTGCCTCCGCAGTCCATAGCAGCCTGATCCATTTCGGGTTTTACGGTGCGCCCTGTATAGCAAGGAAGACCTGAGACAGCAAGGAAGCAAAATCTGAAACGGATCGAAACACCTGCCGAACGGGAGTCTGACGCAGTACGGGATGGATGCAAGTACTGACCTGGAGCCAGGCTGGCATTCGAGCCAGCTCTCTCTCCACGGCAGGGCGGCTGTCTGTGGGCAGCACCCTCTGGCACGCCCGCAGCAGAGGGGGGACCTTCCTGGTCAGCAGGAAATGCTGCGAGGAGAAAGGTGGGACGACACACATGAGAGCGTAACACAGGAGAGCTACAGGGACGCGTCACATCCAGTCCTGCGTCCGAGCTCTGAATTAGTGACTTTAACTGACTAATTATTCAATGAGCCTGAACTCATTTCACCCTCAGACTTGAAAGGCCAGTCTGCACAAATTCTTCATGAGTTCGCTGGTGTTCAGCAGGGTCGATGCATGAAAACGAAGAGTGTGGAGGGACTGAAAAAGCTGCAGTGGGGTGGGGCGTCGAACCCGTGCCGGCTGGGAGACTCTTCATAAGGCCTGCTTTTCTGGGCTCTTCATAAGCATCTGCAGAAAGCAGCTGTGGCCCAGTTAGGCCCTGGCTGGGATTAAAATGGCCGAAACCACTGAACGGGGGCCCAGACAGCCCGGGGAGAAGGGGGCTGACCTTCAGCTCGTTGTCGGGCGCTCGGCAGTGGCTGGCCTCGCGCAGGTGCATGCGCAGCTGCTGCGCGGTCTTGGTGCGGACCAGGTAGCGGCACACGAGCTGGTGAGGGAACTCGGTGTCGGCGAAGTGCTTCAGGCCCAGGGCGATCAGGCTGCCAGGGGGAGAGAGAGAGGCGCCAGGTGAGAGGGGCACGCAGCAGAGCTGGCCGTCAGTTCGAGAGGATGCGTGCGAGAGTGCGAGCACAGGTGTGTGCCGGTGCGCCGGCAGGTGTGTATGCACAGGTGTGTGTGTGTGTCAGCCTGTGTGCACGCCCAGGCGTGTGTGAGTGCGCGAGCAGGTGTGTATGCACAGGCGTGTGTGAGTGTGCGAGCACAGGCGCGTGTGTGTGTGTGTGTGAGCCTGTGTGCATGCCCAGGCGTGTGTGAGTGCGCGAGCAGGTGTGTATGCACAGACGTGTGTGAGTGTGCGAGCACAGGCGCGTGTGTGTGTGTCAGCCTGTGTGCACGCCCAGGCGTGTGTGAGTGTGCGAGCAGGTGTGTATGCACAGACGTGTGTGAGTGCGCGAGCACAGGTGCGTGCGAGTGTGTCAGCCTGTGTGTATGTGTGTATTGATTTTAACAAGACTACACGAGGTGCCATCACTCTGAGTGGAGGTTCATCAAGGCACAGCAGACAGTCCATCAACATACAAAGAGAGAGTCAGTGTGAGCTCCTCTCCAGTACAGAAACACAGGTGTGTGTGTGTGCACCTGTCCTCTCCGCGGGTGTAGATGGTCTTGACCCTGGGGGGGTGCTGAGCCGGGTCCAGGCTGCAGATGGGCAGGAGCTCTGGGCACAAGAACTCCTTCCGGGTTGCCAGGAGCCAGGCCAGGCGTGGGGGCATGGTGGGATAGGGCCGCACTGCCGGCACAGCGACAGGTCAACACACATCAGCAAGAGACAGTAACAACTACAGCCACCCCAGGCAGAGAGAAGAAATACAGCCTACAGATCTCATCCTGTACTTCAGAAACTGCCCAGTGCCACACACTGAGCTACAGGCTGTCTGCAGATTCTTTATGCAGGATATTAATCTCACTGCCAGTCTGGGACAGACAGAGAGCTGTAAAGAAGCCCCAGTCTCACTGTGATCTGTGTCAGTGTTACAGGTAGAGACACAGCCCTTTTAGAGTCAGGATATTAATCTCTCATATAGAGTTTCTCTCTCCATCAGTTTGAACCCCTCGTTCCCTGATCAGCTATCTCAGGAAGACCCTCATACCCCAGGACCGGCACCCTCACCGACGGTGTTGCAGCGTTGTCGGGCAGGCCTCTGGGGGGAGGCCTGGGTGAGCTGAGGCTTGATCGTGCGGTCGAACTCCTCCAGCAGAGACAGCGCCCCCTCTAGGTTGCAGGCCCGAAACATGCTGACGAAACCAGGCTCCACCAGCCCCCGCGTCTCCTCTGTGCTCTGGGCGAACGACTGCAGCTCCGTCTGAGAGGAGGGAGAAGAGGAGGTTGGAGGGCTTGCAGAGGCTGGGCGGTCGGGGGGCCGGTCGGCGTGAGGGCCGGGCGGTCGGGGGGCTGGGCGGTCAGAGACTCACCAGGAAGTGGCGGGTGGTAACTGCCTCGCTCTGCAGCACCGGTATGGTGCTGGTTAGCATGTGGACCTGAGTCAGCAGCTGCACGTGCTGCAGACAGAAGGCGAGAAACAGGACCTTTTAATAAAAAACAGCCGTTTTCTCCCATTATTTCTCCTGTTCCTACTCCTTTCCCAGCTCTTCCAACCTGCAGCTCCGCCTGACAGAGAGATAGAGAGGGAAGGAGACGAGAGGGAGAGAAAGAGGAGACGAGAGAGGGGCTGAGGAAGAGGAGAAGCAAAGAGGGAGTGAAAGAGGAGAGGAGGTGAGAGAGCAGAGGGAGAAAGGAGAGAGAGGAGGAAGCTATACAGACAGCTTCCATTTAACCAATGCGATCTCACCTTCTTTTATTTCTTTCAACGCTGAAGAACTGTGAAATAAAATAGCTCATATTAACCGTGACGTGTCAGAACTAGAACATGAAATTAGCCGCAGCACGGAGAGCAGCGGCTCAGGCTCCGGCGTCGAACCCTGACCTCCCGAGTCCGGACACTAGAGTCCGTGTAGGGACTTCCAGCGGTCCGCGGCGGTCTTAATTGCGGGAGCCTCGTTAAGCGCCTCTACAGACCTGCTGAATCTGCTGCTGGAGCTGGTGCTTCTGGGTGGGGTTGAGCAGCAGGGTGCAGGTGGGGCTCGGCAGCATCAGGAAGTGGGGGCCCGCGGGGGCCGGCGCCGGCGGCTCGGGACGGGACTCCTGCAGGGCCCGGCGCTGCTGCAGCGCCTCCAGCTGTTCCTTCACGGTACGGCGCCTCTCCGTCAGCATGTTGGCCAGGGGCTCCTCAAACCTGCGGGCCAGAGACACAGACATCCAGTGGGGTCATTCATACTGCTGTACTGGGAAACACTGCAAAACCTGGAGTGGATCAGACTGCTGTGCACTGAGAGTCTAACTGCACTGTAAAACCTGGAGTGGATCAGACTGCTGTGCACTGAGAGTCTAACTGCACTGTAAAACCTGGAGTGGATCAGACTGCTGTGCACTGGGGGTCTGACTG